TATATATATATATATATACTGCATTAATAGCTGCTGTTTTTGAGCAGGTTGAGGTAAAAAGGAATGTGTTACAGCAGCATGAAATATTATCCAAGCGGTAACATCTATGACATTACTCTTTGTGCTGTAGTGACATCATAAAGCACCAACTGTTTGTAAAGAAAGATGCCAAAATCAAAGTTTGTTTTTTGATGAATGCAGGGCAAATTTGTATACACATTATGGTTTATTCTCCAGCCTAACCTGTTTATATTTGTAAATGATTTCTTCACTTTGACCAATGAAACAAGTTCAAGGTGAATCAAGCTAAAATGTTGCCAAGTCATCAGCCTGTTTTCCATGGTACATGTAAGCATATGTGGTTGTGATTAGCATTTTAAAGAAAAAATCTAAGTATTAATGATCATACCTGGGCATCAGCAAGCATGACATCCTTGATGAGGGGAAGCCCCCTTGACTCGCCATTTTCCACACGCACGTAGTGAACCTGGTAGCCACGAATTTGACCGTTTTGTTTTCCTGGTGTCACAGAACGCCACATTACTTTGAGCGATGTGGAGTTGAGGACCTCCACTTCAACTCTTCTCGGTGCAGCTCCAGGAACTTTAAAAAAAAACAAACAAAAAAACAAAAAAATCCAAAAATCAGACGATAAACATGCAGTACTATTACAAACTAGTGCAACTCTCAAAATCCAATAGACTCCTCATACAGATATGTCTTAAAACATTATACATCAAATAGATGACACAGAATACAACACTGAGTGCAAGGCCTTTTTTTCTCTCATATATCCTGCCCTCTTTCTCGTGTAACCTCCACCCTTTCATTATGTCTGTTGACGGTGAGAAGCCTTGCCACTTACTCATAATGACCAACCTTTATGGCGGGCCTAGCATTCAGGCCATTTGAGGTGGCAGGGAAAATCCTTTTCTTAGATAAATGTGCCCAGAATAAGACTCCTCCCCATAAACAGCTTCTATTTGCTTCGCCACAAACACTTGAGGTCTTCTTCACTTCTCTAAAAGACAAACTCATCCCACCCTCTGTCCAGCACCTTTCAACTTTATAACCAATGTTTTGGTTATTTAAGTGACAGTTGGGATAAGTTGTTCTTCCTTTTAACTCAGTAACTGTCACTAAGAGTATTTAAAAAAAAACGTCCCTGTCAGACAAATGCCAAAAAGGCCAGTATGAAATATGCCAAACAGGCTATGCAGAATGAAAGCCAATATAAGACAATATGAGTCATGGGTTCTGTGACTAGATCCGACTTTTATGTCTCAGTTTGGGGTTTAGCTTTTGCTGTCAAACTCTGTGTCATATGAGGGTCCTTATTAAGTTTTGTCAGAGAAAATGCTTATTTAACTTCCCTATTTTGTACCAAATTCTAAAAGGTAGACGTGGAGGGGCGGGGAAACAAAATAAAAGTGCATTAAATATTAAAAGTAAACTTAATAATAATTAAAAAAAAATCCTTTTTTGTGCACAGTGGCAGCCCTTTCTTTTATGAGAAATCAAAACAAATAAACTGCATATATCTTTCCATTTTAGTAGCGTGGTTAGCACAAAAATGTCTCTTTTAGAAGTCTGAGTAGAATATTTAAAACCACTTAAGGTGTACTTATTTAATCCTTACCTTTTTTTCCCTATCTTGTATAATTTTCCTATCTGAGATGCTTTATTCCATTCTTATAAATGAATATATATTCCATTTTCATCCCAACTGCAGTCTGCTGTAACCATAAGCACTTAGACAGGTATGGCCATTGTAGATTGTTCATATAGATTGCACATATTACCCAGTCATAATATCTATGCTTAAAGTTGTTAGTTCATTAATAAAATAATAATTACAAATGAGTGAAAATATTCATTATGCTTATTTTTTTTTAAAGGGCTGCACAATTGATAAACTTTTTGATTTCCGTCTTGATATCAATCTGTACTGCACTGATCTCAATAAATACTAACTTCACAAATCCAAGGCTAATACTGTATCTCAGGAAGGCTCTTATGTGGCTGTCTTTATGCAATGGATCTGCAAAGGCCTTTGACTGAAGACACTGTTGATGTTAAACAGTCTTATGAAGAGGAGGATCAAGCTTGTTGATGTTGTTTTTTATTTATGAAACATTAAAATTGAGAAAAAGAAACCTCAAAATTGTGAAGACACGGCCTAGTGATGTAAATTTTAACGGATTTGTCCACAAAGGCACAATGGATCTTAAGGTTTGGGTTGGACCTCTTACTTTCTGAGTTGTGACTTTGTTTGGAGTTCGATTTTAAACACCTGATTTGGAGACTTGAAACTAATATTCCTAAGTAAAGATCAGACATATTGTATTTCAACTGCTATTTGAATGGCAAAGCAACTTCCTCTTATTTTCAAGAAGCAGAAAGGATGTTTGTAACTGATAAGGCCAGGTCTCCACAAAAGAGACTTACCATCTTCATCTGTCCGGCATATTAGGGGCTCGCTCTCAGGGCCAGATCCAACCTTTGTTGAGGCAGACACAGTGATGCGGTACTGGGTCCACTTCTCCAGTTGCTGCAGCAACACTCGCTCTTCATTCGGAGGCAACAATGGCTTCTCCACGGGCTCTGTATCATCACTGGCCTCCTCTGAAGGGCTCAACACCTGGTAGTGCACCCTATACCCCGTCAGGTCACCATTCTGACTCGACAGAGGTGGGGGGCGCCAACTTACCAAAAGGCTAGTGGAGCTGGTGGTGCTGCACTTAATTTCCTGAGGGGGAGCTGAGGGCTCTGGTGAGGTGGAAAGGACAGGAGGGGAAGAAGGAGGGAAAGGGGGCAGCAGAGGATGAGGAGGTTGGGGAAGGAAGAAGGGTGAAAAGCGAACAAATAAAAAGATGGGAGAGATAAAGAAAATGAAAAAAAGGAAAAATCTGAACTGAAACAAACAACAGGAATAATTAAATAAAACTGGCAACCAAAAACTAAAATATAAGCAAAATAAAAACAAGTACCAAGCAGATGTCAAATTAAAATGCAAAAATGGACAACACCACACAGAAAATGTGATAATGAACCAAGACGGCTACAGTATCTGGTTTTGGTGAAAGTTGGACGGTAAAATCTATCAACATAATTTTATTAAAAGTACTGATAGGACTGGTGTTTGCTGCTGGTTCAACTCAGATATCTTCAAGCTAAATCGTTGTGAAAAATTGGGGATGTTTTGAAATTATAGATTTATTATGTCAGTCAAAAACGTACATTGGATCATATTGACCTGTATCTAAAATATCAGATATCAGCCTGCTAATGTCTGATATTTTAGATTTAGATATTAGCTCTATATATGTTTAAAGTTAGTCATTGTACAACAGAACATGGGTCAGTTGTTCTGATACATATAGACAATCATTCAGGGTTGTTCTTTCAGTATTGTCACCGATTAATCCTTTTCTAACATCCCACTGTACAAAATAAGTAATGAAAATATGTATAATTCGGGATGATATATCAGGTCAATGTCCGTATTGGTCAAAGTTAATATCAGTATCGTATGGAAAATTAAAAAGTTGCATCGAGATATTTCTATGAGATGAGGGTCATTAAAAATGATTCCTATGTTCCTAAAACTAAGGGCAAATTATTATTTACCAAAGCTTTTATCTTTGCTCTACACTCAATGGACACAAAAGTAAAAATAATAGAACATTTTTAATGGAGGGAGAGAGTCTTAATAGATTTTCCGAAGACTATCATAGATCACTGGTTAAAATGTTTTGGTCAAAGTGTTTTTTGAGATATGATGCATAGTTTTAAAATCCTTAATGTTTTCTGATTTTTTTTTTCCAGCACAGGAGAAACGTATTTTAGTGCTTATGCTTTTTTTTTTAATATATCCTTCTTCCAACTTTAAAATCCAGTTCATTATTACATTTTATGTAAAAAAGCATTAAAAAACATGTGGTATACAGAACAAGTTTAAATGAAGAACAAAAACAAAGATAAAAAACTATTCATTCAACAATAAGAGACAATACAGAAAAAAAGTTGTAAAATTAAGAAAGGTAATGTAAAATAATCCTTTAACAAAAGTGTCTCAGAGGGGAAATAATATTCACACCAGACTAAAGAAAACATAAAGTCAACATAAGTAAATCAACATAAAGAAAGAAAAAAAAAAAGAACAGAGGCTCACAAAAAAGACAAAATATACCATCAACAGACAAATAAAAATGAACCACAAGCATTGTCTGTATTATACGTACCTGTCTCCCAAAAATATTAAACTTTTAAGACTTTCTTACCAACAGCACCTGACTTCAGAGCGTTCTTACTCTGGAGTCAGGGAGCAGCAACTCTTTCCTTTCCTTTGAGTAAATTATCAATTTTGTCATCAACTCTTGTTTAAGTTACCTACACAGCTATTTTTATCCACTGATAAAACCGTTTGGACCCACTGTGGGTTGAGCAGGAGTGAGAGAGTTGCTGCTGTGCTGTAGCCAGCTCTGTTTAATACTGTATCGTTGGGCCAGAGGGTCCACAATACTGAGAGGGGAAAGCCAGTGGGGGAAAATTCATTATCTAGATTTTCTACGCTTGTTAACTTGGCCAGGGACAAAAAACATCCTTCCTTTTTGGCAATTTCCTCAAATAAATCCCATTTCATAGCCCTATGTCTATGTGTCTTCGAGAAGCTTGCAGCCAGTTTGATAGTGCCAAGAAACAAGACATTACCATCAGCAACATAAAAAAAATGCATAACGGAATTTATAAAACTATAATGAAAATTTTGTAGCCTAATGTAGCTTTGGGGGCACAGCTTTAAAAATACAAAACAAAAACAACTTAGTTTGAATATAAAGATATCTTCCTCTGTAAAACCACACTGTTTATGAGCACAGAAATAAAACGGGGGCATACTCATAGTTCCCAAACACTTTTCTGTGTCCAATGGGCTTATTTACTTAAGGTTTTACTGGATTTGAGCCATGCAGCTTCTTTCCTTTGCCCATATTGTATTTGCAAATTTTCCCCCGCCAAAGAATGACTGCATCATTCTCCTTCTTAGTCAAGAAGAAAGGAGCTATAAATCTGACAGGATGGAGGTTATCACAGCACACAGGCATCCCTATCCTTGATAATGATTTAAGTCTGGATTGGGTCAATCCATAGTATCATAGGGAGGCAATTGTTGGGATTATGGACACAAGAACTATGCATCCACAAAAGAAGTTCCTCAGACACTTTCCTTGAAGTTATCCTAAACTTTCATTGTAATATGTAATGACATGACATATCTGGTCATGTCTGCCATTTTATTCCTCTTCTAGGTATAGTTATATAGCAATAGAGGACAATATTGCTGATCTACAACTACAATGGCTGTGACTCATCGTCGAGTATTAACGTGAACATAAATAGCAAAAGCATTTGCTATTAAAGTCAGAGGACATTTCTGTGTATGGACTGCATCAGAAACCTCAAATGACATGTCTGTTCTTGTAGATCATTACAGAATTAATCCCTGAGACACCAAATGGCCATGGTGTGGCTCACACAGATATTCCAATACATCTAAAAACCTTGTGCAATTACATTAAGTGGGAGGACTAAACTGCTTGTTTGGTTAAATACAGGGGATTTAGAATCTGCCACTTTAATTTTAGAGATGGCTTTTGACTGGCTACTGGCAGGGTCTAGGTATAATCTAAATATGTAACAAAGCCTGACAATCCCAGGCCTTGGCTCAGAGCTCATAGTTGAGCATGAAATTAATTCTGACTCTATGAAATGGGATTCTTATCTGCCACTGTTGAGCCCAGCAGCCCTTCAACACCACCCCCAGGGTCTATCTCAAGTGTTGTTAGCATGTTTTAAAGCTGGCAACAGCTGGAAGGATTCCCCTCTAAGCTTTCTGGTTGTGGACCCTCTCCAGCCATGTCTGAACTGTCATATGAAACTGATTTCAATCTTGTCTGATAATGGTAGCATACCAAATGAGGTCTTACTTCTGTATGGGAGCCGTTTTTAATAAGAGCATCTTGCAAATTTAATAAAACTGTTTTAATTTTATAGTTTTTTTTGTATCAGTTGAATTTAATTACTTTGAAATTAATATAGACACATTCCTGGATTATTTTAATTCCTTTGGATTATGCTCTTCAAAGTTCCCATTTCAAACCTCAGGTAGTGCTACTTGGACTGATCACAAATTTCAAGATTTGGTAAACATTTTCAGCATGGAAAATAGATTAAACACATTTGAAAAGTAATGTCCGTCTGTCTTTCCACTTCATGGCAAAGAGATTCAGTCTGCCAGGTGCTAGAGGACCCAAAGAAATCTTTAGATTATCTCACAATTCTCAGTAGAGCGAATCCAGGGCTTTGGAAAGATATGATCAAAATTGTGAAGTTTTTGCTGTCTTGAGCATTTTGTACTTTTTAGACTTTTAGTGTTGCCAAACACTTCCTTATATGTTGTTAACTTTCATATCATAACTCGTAAGAAATTCAAGTTAAGCAGTACATTTATTAAAAAGGTAGGATTTGAAAGGTTACGGAACATCCTTTTTGCTAAAATGAAATTTTGATCCTGAAAAGCTTCAGGATGATTTCATTCATCAGATTTATTTGTGTTGTTGACACAAAGCAACGCCAATCTTTAAACTGGGATATTAAGCTTAAGTGTACTTGTACTTTGGTTTCCTCAATTGAACAAAACAGGATTCAATTATTTGCAAGATAAATAAAAACAAATTAAAGCTACTGAACAGCAGTAGCAGCCACAACAAACTGTTCAAAGTTGAACACTTGTTCATTATCTCATAAAGGGAAATGTAAGAATGTACTTCTCTTCAGTTCGTGAGTTCAAACATTAGCAATGCATTTAGGGAAACCACTGAACGAGACACAATGATGGCAGTTCTTTGTTTTTAACGGTGGTCAGAATAATTCATTGCATTTGTATGTTGGATGCACCTAAACAAAATAAATATAGTTTTATGTGTGGGGAAAACTGTTAGTTTCAAAAAACAATTACTTAATTGTATCTCATTGTATAAAAAGATCTATTTGTTGAGAGAAATCCAACTTTAAAGAACATGGCAGACTGAATCGCTAAACCAAACAACCACTTACCTCAAAGCATCCAAAAGATCAAGTTATTCTTAATAGTAAATGTTTAGTTTGTCTGGCTTTGTCTGTGAATATTCTGACTTTAGTGCTAGAATGCTAATGTGATGTTAGGGACCGCTGCTTTGCAATGAACCTTCAATGTACAAGAAAAAGATGGGTTTGAAAAACAAACAATGAGAATCAGGGTAAAATAATGTAAATAAAATGGATTGATAAGTAACCTTGCCTATTTACTTCTTTGTTATGACACATGTTATGATATAGAAATAGTCTCATATTAAGCAAGACTTGACTTGAAACCCATCATATTTGCTCAAAAGCCCATTCTCCCAGTATGTATGCCTCAGCTAACTTTCTCTGTAGTAAAAGAAGTGCATAGTATGAAAATACTGCTGAAAGATACAGGTGAGAGAGATGTGTCAAATTATTAATATTTAAGGTAAAGACTTAACTGAATAAAAAGATAAATACAAAGATCTGTATTTATTAAAAAAAAATAAAATAAGAAATGAAACATAAAAAGGAAGAGGGACTCAAGTGAACAAAGTGACGCCAAGCCATTCCAAGAACAATTTTAGTTGTAATCCACAAGGAAAAAGTGACAAAGAGAGGGACCGAACTGGAGGAGAGTGATGAAGGAAGAGGGACAGAAGGAGGAGGGATGTTTTCAACTCTGCTTGCACTTTACAAATGCAAAAACAGGCAAGAATATCACAAACACACACAGACTTGTGGATATATGTGCATACACTAAAGAATTGCCAAGACAGAAATGGGGGTGGAGAAAGATGTTTTTTTTTGTTTTTTTTTCATGCATGGAGGAATCAAAGATCGTTAGTTCAGTGATAGCTGCCCAACAGCACCCCGAGTGGGCAGTAGTGAGTGTCACATGCAAGTGGAGTTCTTGGCAGTAAGACTGCACTTTCTGTGCAGGAACAAAAAAGAGCTGTGAATTGGTTGTTCCAAAGCCCCCACGCTCACATGTCGAGGCACAGCCAACAAGTTGCACTGGTAGAAACAGAAAATGTGTTATAGAAAGTCTGCTCCCACCACCAAGGCTCGCCTATGTCACTGTTGAAGATGCTCTGCTTTAACTTTCCAAAAATAGGCCAAAGTACTGTCAGTGTAGTAAAGCATTGCAGTCTCTCATGCACAATGCATTTTTCCATGTTGCTTTGTCACAGTAAAAATTTACATTGTTGAAAGTAGTAATAATCTTACCAAATCAGGCTTTTTTTATGTACTATACAGTGAAATAGCGACTAGTTAACATTTTCATTAGGCTTTGAATGGCATTTAAACCCTGAAGAAGTTTCACCTAAATGTCTTGTTATTTCAAATGCAGTTATTATAATCTACATCTATACTACAGAATATTGATTTAATTTAAGCTGTCTGGTGGTCAAAGGACCCAATAAGATCATCTTAAGGGGACTGTTATTTTTAAAAGCAAACCACTATACTGATTTGTACCAACATTTCCTTGATCTAAATCTAACCTTAAGACTATCATGTAAATCTGACATGGTACAATCAACTGTCAGTAACCAGTTTTTTTATACTACTGGACACAATATGTTGTCACAAAGGCATCTTATTTTCTTTTTCGTTATTACAAAGTTTGTGGTAAAAGAGAAGAGAATAAGCTTAAAAAAACTGTTAAATGGTCTAATAACTAAGGTTTCCTGGTTATTAGGTATCAGGTTTCTTACCAGAACTTTTTTGGCATAAGTGTAATTCATTATTATTTTAATGGAGCAACTGAAAAACCACCCGTAGAACATGTTCGCAAAACGGAGGGACATTAAGAACAATTCTTTGAGCTGATTGGGTTCTTGCCTTCCATCTCCAGGTTTAAGCCAACAGTGTCAACAACACATATTACATTCTTGATTTGTTTCACAGAATTACCTAATGATTCAAATTGTTACTGTGAGGAAAGTGCAGACATCTTTCCGTCCACAAAGGTAAAAATGGCATCCATTTGCTTGTTTTTTTCAAAATGAAAATAGTTGGAATTCCAGCTGAAACCGGCTCAGTTATGTCTATTTTCAGCCTTCCGCCTCTGGTTGATACGTTGATGTCATGTACATCATTGCACATAGTCTTTATTTTTGTGCAATTTTGACAACTTTTAGTGCAACCAGCCATTGTGCTTAAATGCGCTGAACAGAAGGAGAGTATGCCAAGACTGTCAAAGGGCTGATATGCTCATAAAAAAACCCTGAATCGACCTAACTTCAGTGCAGCAGTGACAGCCTGCTCAAAAGTCCTGGAGAGAACCCTGGTTTGGTGCTGATACATTTTTCACCTCTTTCTAAGTAGCAACAATAAGTATCATTATTTAAAGTTTGAACAATAGTTCCCATAAGCCCCTATCTCACTTATCTTTCATCTGTTCTCTAATGTTCACCTTCCAAGTTCTGACAGCTGGAATACATTTTGCTCTATCTTTTGTCTTTTTTTACTCCAACAACATTAAATCAAAAATGTACAGTTCATATGAGAGCCCTGGTGGTCTTTCAGGAGAAGTAACATTTTTTGTGTCTTGTGGGATGTGAACTTGCTGTCAACAAAATAAAAATAAACCATTAACCAAAGTAAAAGAAAACAAAAAACACCAAATATACACCCACCCACAACAACTTAAGTTTAAAATGGCAGAGTAAATATGTACATATATCTTCTGTGAGAAAGTTAAGAAATTAAGGCAAAAGAATAAAAGATTTTATATAAATATGCTTTGCACCTAACAGGGACTTAACCAAACTAGATTTTTCTTTTTTAAGTAACTTTCAGATTGGACAAAGGCTTATTACAATCGGAACGTTTTTCCAAAAAGTAAAAAAAACAACCCACTGGACTTTGCTTCCACAGTCTTGCTTAGGAAACTTGCCGATTATAAGAACCATCTTCATTTCAATTTAAGATATAGAAAGCAAAGACTCGTTCTATTTCAACTTGTAAACCAAAGTCCAGTGAATTATTATTATTATTTTTTTCAACTTTTTTTGGAATGACTATGACCTTGATGATTGAGAATCTGCACCAGCAAATCTGAAACGTTTGCATTCATAAAGACCGCTAAGAAAAAGAGATACTGTAGATCAGAAAAATTAAGTGCAGTAAGCGCTTTACAAACCTTTAATGCTAAGATATTTGTTTGTTACACTGTTGGCTTCAGAAATTCACTCACTGCACATCTAGAGCTAATAGAAACATGCATTACAGTACAGTTAAAAGTAATAATAATTCAGAATACTAGATAAATGCTATGCCATCTTGGAAAATAAGTGGTTATTACTTAAAATCCATTGCCATTTTAGCCTGATTTGCCAAATTACTTTTGGGTTCGAACTCAAACAATCAAAAGGAAAGTGTTTTAGCAATATGTGTTGTACCAACTTCCTGTGGTTGAAATAAAGTTAAAAGAAGAAAAAAAACTACCCTTAAGACCCTTGTTTTTGATTCAAATTTCTGTGCACAGAATTTAATTAAAATGTTCCTTTGGCCTCATATGCATTATTTCGACTGCAGTTCTACATAAAGTAAACATTTATTAGAGTAAGGCAAACCTTAAAGAAGTTCAAAAACATCAGATAACAGTCAGAAAAAGAAATAGATATTAAATGGTATCCACAAGCTTCAATTTAGTAACTGTTTCCAGTTTAACATAGCTATAACCAAATGGCTAAAAGGAAAACAGAGGAAAAATTGCAAACTTTAGACGAAAGAACAGGAAAGTAAAACAACATAAATTCAAGTAATTTTAGTTACGGTCCATAAAGAAGGAAGAATCATTGTTTTGTTTCTGTAACAAGAGTTTCTTTTGTTAGCAAAACTGAAATAAAAGGAGAAGATCAAATAAAAGGCTACATACTGGCTTGCAAGGTCCTCTCAGAAATTTCATTTGTGAAGGCCCCAATGCCTTTGTTTGAGATGGCCGCCAGGGAGAAGCGGTACTCTGTATTGGGGCGAAGGCCTTCCAAAACATATGATTTTGTGGGTCCAAATGTTTTCTTCATCTATTAATCAAAATATGAAAATATAAAATGATTAACACAAACATATTCTTTGAACATGACATTGAAAGCTTTTGTGAAACAGAAAATCAAATATGACACTTGCCTGCGTGCCAAAATTGCTTTCCCTATAACGAAGTTCATAACTTATAATTCCTTCTTTCTCATATGCGGGTTCCCAAGTCAGTTCGATTCTAGTGTCTGACACGGCACCCACCTGGAATTTGGATGGTTGACCTGGAACTGAACACAAGCGCAAATTACATTTTAAGAATTGGGATTCAAGACAATTAAGCTAATAGAGTTTAAACCATGATAACCAGTAGCTAAGTTTCCAAACAATGATATTAGAATAATGCAAGTAGGCAAATACACAGACAGTTTGATTTAAAGGAAACCTAAGAAGTATAGTCACAAAATAATTCCACAGTAGTTGTAACAACTGGACATAATGCCATTATATGCCTTTTCACATTTGATCCATCCAGGGCTGGACTTTTACGTTTCATAGCTCACCTGATTTATCAGAACAAAAGGCTTTTCTTCCCTAACTATGCCCATAAAAGAGTCTTGTGGGCCACTTACTCTTTTGCCTGTTCACTCCTGTTCCTTATTCGGATAATTTTGGAAAGATGGCTAATAGACTTCTAGCAAATGGAATTTGTCTGTTGTCAATCAAACTAAATCTAACGTTTTTGCTTATTTATGAAATGTTTTAATTGTGCCTAATAGAAACTACCAAACTAAATGAGCCATGATCCAAAGATGGTCAGTGCTGTTTACCTAACACACACACACACACACACACACACACACACACACACACACACACACACACACACATATACATATATTCAGTATTATATGCCAAACAACTACTCAAATCCTTACCTCCCTGCAGTACTTTCACATGAATGGGCTCAGAAAAAGGTCCATCACCAACGGATGTGAATGCCAGAACTTTGATAGTGTATGTCTCTTGGGGAATTAGGCTCTGAATGGTGGTGATCAGACTGTCCTGGACATTATGGATCTGCCAAAGGCTCATGGGCTGTGCATCATCCATAGTGTAGTAAACTCGGTAGCCCTTGATTTGCCCATTAGGTTCCTCGGGTTCTTCCCATTGCACCATCATGGTGTTTTGGGGAAGAATTTGCGCCTTAATGTTTCTTGGAGGACTTGCTGGGGCTTGCTCGCCAGTTCGAGTTTCAACTGGTTCACTGGGCGGACCTTGTCCAATTGAATTCACTGCCGAGACACGTATTTCGTATTCTGTGTTTGGGTAAAGGCCGCCAATGCTATAACGCGTGGTAGTGATGTCATCAACAGTTTCGTATTTGCTGTCTGGTGACTTGGCTCGATATTGTATGATATAGTATGTCACTGGGTCTGGGTTTCCTGAGTCCCAAGTAATGGTCACACTGGTTGCTGTGGTTTCGGTAACCACAGGGGTACCTGGAGGCTTGGGGAGAGCTGGTAAGGCAAAATAGCAGGACAGAGAGAAAAGGTATTGATTTATGATCATTCTATAAATTTGAAGCAAATGCAAACATTAACCAACTAGCTTTGTTCAGTAAACCAAGAACAAGAATAACTACAACCTACATTTTCTATGTATATCGTACATCCTTCACAAATTCAGTTATCACTCACATTTGACGGTGATCTGTGCAACAGCTTCAATGATGCCAAGGCTACTCATCGCCACGCACGTATAGTTGGCTGACTCACGTACACTGCTCAGTTCAAGAACATTTCTGCCAACTGGCATCTCGTCGTCTGGTGTCAAGTCCTCAGAGTTCAGCATCCACTTGACATAAGGCATGGGGGACCCTACTGCCACGCAAGTTATGTTCACACTGCCACCTGGCATTATCTCTTGACTTGTTGGTAGAATGGAGAAGCGAGGAGGTACCCGCCGGACTGGGAGAAGGCATGAGAAAAGGGAAAGGATGACAAAAAAGGGCAAGGAGTCAAAAGGAAGAGAAAAAAGATGTAACAAGAGAAGCAGATGAAGATGGGCCTTTCTCAAGTAATTACATAACACAAATAGTTCAACATGATAAATGTGAACTTGAACAAAAAATATAAATAAAACTAGACTTAAAAAAACACAAAAGTAACAAATAATGGGAAATAACTAAACTAACAGAATAGCTTCAGCAACAATATAGATTAACAGTTAAGCAACAATTCATAGCAACAAGGTTCCATTGACCAATATTTGACCCATCACAGCACAATTAAAGACACAAAAATCTATTACGAGTTTCTCATCTTTGGGGGCTGAACTTCTAACACAGAAAACTATAGCACTACCTGATCGCAAAGTCGTAGAGTAAAATAGTAGTAAGGGCCATGTGATAATTCAATCACATAAGCCCAACCCGGCAACCTGGAACTTCCTGTCCTCACAGACACACATGCCAAACAGGAAGTAGGCCATTGCAGGCTTCTCCCACAGCACAGGAAGTGTAGGGTTACTGAACTAGTGACCATCTCTGTAAGGTCTAACCAAATTCTAGAACACATTTGCAGTGAACACCTGGCTCTTCTTTCTAATTGTCTTAAAGATGAGAAACTTTAATCAGATTTTTGTGGTTTAGGGTAGATCCACTGGACAAAGCCTTATTAAGATCTGACACGGTTCCATTGATAGATGCAGCTATCAGTTTCACAGACAGCATGCATAAATAGATCGAGGTAAATCAAGGAGTAAATGATAACAAAATCAGATATAAAACTTGAGATAAAATGCATTGAGGAATATAACTGAAGGGTCGCTAGCATGCCCAGACAAGACGATTGGAGAGGAGAAATAGTACGAGGTAGCAGAAATAACATCGTAGGAAAGGATAGTAGGAGAAAGAACAGTGCAGTCAGGAGTGACAGAGGAAGAAAAAGAGTAGGGAAGGTTGGAAGAGGGGTAAAGGGAGGCAGGGGGTAACCCGTTTTACTGCTGTGTAAACTTTTGCTTTTCTTCAGCTAATGTGACAAAATGTGATGATTGCACATTGTCACATCGCAGTCTTGGTTAACACAAAATAGGTATTGAGGAACAAGGTGTGTGCCTAAGAATACACAGAAAAAAAGCGCTCTAGCCACTGTAGGTAGGAAGCTAACTATTACACAGTGTAGGAGTAAAGAAACAGAATTGGATCAACAGTGAATAGAGTTTTAGAGAATAGGAAGGAGAGATGGAAATAAAAGAGAAATGGATACCAGTACGAGAGGAAGACAGTTATAATTTCTGAAGATATGGAAAGGGACTGGATTGAAGAGGGAGTTTTATAAACTTGAGATTCAGAGGAGGGACGTGACGGGTGCAAAGTACTTATATGTGTGCATGACTATAGATATATAGTTTTTGCATTGGCGTAGGCATGAGTTTGCGTGTGTACAGTATGCAAGAGCTATAAAGTGAAAGAGTATGATTCTGCAAAAAACTGATTGAGAAAGGCATCCCAGCAAGCACATTACATGGGGCTACATTGAAGCGTTTACACATTGATCTGTCCTCTTCTTAAAAATATGTTTTTTGGTTTAGTTTCTAGACGTTAGGGAAATGTTGAAAGCGTATACCAATTCAAAAGCCTGGTTAGGTAATATAGTGTGCTACTATATAGGTAGGCTAAATGTACAAAATATATATACATTTTTTTTAATAAACAGCAGACAAAGGAACTACCGGTATTTTGATTCAATGTCATAGTGTTTGTTGGGATGCAAAGGTCAAAAGAGAGAGTGAAGGTAGTGAATACACAGAAGAAAACATGATGAAATAAATGTAAAAGATGACTTTAGAGACTGACAAAACAAGGAAGAAAGAGAGACAAGACACGAGGCAGAAATTAAAATCAAACAGACCCAAGCAGCAAGACAGCAGACAAGACAAAGGGAAATGGATTGACAAGCGGACATACTGTACAATACGCAACAAGGGAAGGGAAAGGATTGGGGTGTCGGAAAAGGGGGGAGGAGGAGAAGGAGCATATAAGTGGGGGATAGAATAAGTAACTATGATTATAAATAAAAAAAGAACCAGAAAAAAAAAATCATGGCTCAAAGTTGGTTTGGAGGTCTCACACACTGGGGCTTAAAATCAAGAATTCGGTACATGTTCCTTTCTTACCACCTTAAACTTTGCTACTACAAAGAAATGGATCTTCAAGATTTGGGGCAGGAGAGTATAAGGTAGGACAAATTAGGGGCAAAGGGAGTGATCAGAGGGAAAACTGATAGGAGTGAATAAGGTAAAATAAGACCTGAAAAAACAAGTGTCGATCCAAATGGGATTCATGTTTGGGACAAGCGGATTTGTCCACAAAATTAAGGCAGAAATAATGTAAAACGCCAACTCAGGGATTTTCTTTCACCTGAGCTGTGCATGCAAAGCTTAAGTTTGATAGATAACTGAAGTTACAAAGTAAAAAGGCTCAAGTGGGTAGCATTGCTGGTCTTGGGTTTTGGATATGTTTCTAGACTACCCTGCATGCAGTCGCTGTACTATGCACTGTTAATGTCCACTGCTTTTTTACTCTAGGGATAAAAAGACCTGAACTGAAGGGTCAAAAGTTCATAGTTGACTTTTTACAAGGGTTTTATTTTGCAACAGAAACTATTTAATATAGTAAATGTTCTATGGAAAAGGTTGTTCTAAATTCAATAATAGCTTACTTGAGATACTTTTTTTTTCTCGATTATTTCTTTAACAAACAATGGCAAAAATCCGTCTGGGAGAGTGGGGAAAATAAATTTATATTCCTGCTTTATTGTTTGATAAAGCATATCTAACTAACCAACAAAGGTGATAGTGCAGCCCATTCCTCACACAGACATGCATGGGTGTGGCTATGGCATGAGTGACGTAGAACGGTGCACCCTCATACGCTTGGGCAGAACACCGGAGGACCAAAACAATTCAGAAAATGTCACCCAAGCCCATCCAAGCATGCCATTTATGACTGAATATAGCATTTTTCGAGACACACAGACTCACAAAATCAAATCAAATGAAAGGAAGCAAATGAAACTGAACAAATCCACAAATAGAACTACATCCGAACAGCATAGACAGTACCAGAGTGCAGCTGTGTTCACAGAGGTTTGAAGCAGTATAATTAGATGTTTTTCAGCTTCTATTTGTCTTGAGAATTTATCTTCCAATTCAAAATGTTTGTGGTAACTGAACATGACAAACATGGTTGTTTTAGGGGAAACATTCAATCCAAGTTTATCTCAGGGTGATCTTCTCTCCCTGGGGCTCAGTTCAGCCAATGGACCGGGAGCTGAAGTGGTTAAGTGAATGAGGTTTCCCCATAGGACAATGTCTCGAACCACCTTTAAAAACATACAATGTGGAAATCTACTCTAAATGAGCTAATAAACATTGATAATTAGGGAATCGGGAAAATTAGATTAGTTATTTCTTTCATCTTTAGACATTCTGACACAAGGAAACCAAAAATATCAGTGTCTAAGCACCAGGACAAATGGAAATAGTATTCCGCTAGTAGAGTAAAGTACTACATAATATCTCCATCAGAAAACCAAAGTGTTGTATATGAGAATAGTGTGGTGTGAATATCTTTTCACATTTTTGCCTTTAGAACAAACTGATTTGATGTTTTAAAACTGTTATTTTGCCTAGGAAACAGTTTCAACAATTCAACAATTGAAAATTAAAATGTCATACAACCTCAAACCTAAACCTTGTACCCCAAGCATGAAGGTTGTTCAGTTTTATGTGCATGCTCAATGCTGCCTGATTTTGTTGGGTGCACTACAGTACCACGCAAAGAGATGAGATCGTTACTACGCATTTTGGGTCTCGTTTAGTTTGTTTGTGTGGATATTTTTTGAAATTCCCCCTAGTTTATAAGAATGCTTTTCAGAAATGACAAATGCTTTTAAAAAGCTTTTTGTCCTTTACCTTTGCCTAAGCTTAACATTAACAATCATCTTAAGAGGAAATTAAGGTCACTTTAAATTTAGAAATCAATACCTCGCGAAAATAAATTACCAAACTTTAACAGGACTTCAGTCAGCTTGCAGTCTGCTATCTTGATTTTCGCAAATGACACCCTCATTGCTACAAAAAAACAATAGACAAAGAATCCCAATTGCATGGACACACTCCTCATTCACAGAGACCAAGAGCCCATCCGGCCCATTTGGAATTAAGAGAAAAGAAAAGGAAAATCCACATTTTATGTGGTCAATGACAATATGTAGCCTTTTTTAAGCCCCGATGTGGAGAGAAAGACAAGAAGCCGTACACTGGACAATGTGAGAAGCAGTTGAGAGAGAAGGCCAGAGTACTTCACTAACTCTTATATTGGCATTGATGTGGAGGTATTTATGTCCGAAAACAGAGGTCAGAAGGTTGACATTAATGTCCGTTAATGTGAGGAAGATTTTGCTGCCCTAAAATGAAGGGGGAAGCCAAAATAATGTGCAGCCTTTAGTGTCACCTTGAAGCTGAGATTACACCCTCTTGCTGCTTGAGGACGCAGACACAGTATGGAGATCCTTTAGTCATACCTGCAGGGTGGGTCCTACGGCATTTACATTTAAGCTGCAGGGGTTTGACTGTATTAACATACCTTGGCTGTGCCTGTGCTAAACACTCCCTATGGGTGGTCATCAAAATGGAAATTAGTACCTAAAGGAAACTAACAGGAATTTCAGAGTGTTTATGAATTCTGTTGTCTTTACAGGTACATGACAAGCAGCCAAACTATACTGCAAGTACATTCCCCCATTCATGTTAAGAATTAAAGGTACATGCCAAGACAGTTAGAAAGTTAATTTGCAAATGTGATAGTGAGGCATGTGTTTTTAATGGAATATCAAGTCACTTCTGTCACCAATAAGGAATTTCTGGGCTGTGTAAGGCAAACATCTAACAGTGATGGCGGAGATTTGCTTTGGCCAGTGAGAAGACAAGGTGTAATCTAGCTTTCTTTCCCAACATTACATACAGAGGCCTAGCAAGACATGCAATCACATTCACAAACAGGCAAGTATCATAGTAGGAGAGCATGCACATGCATATACAAACAGCACAGTCTTTCTGCATCAGTGCTTCTTTCTTGAGCTACGTATAGAATTAAGTATTTATATGTTTGTGACCTGGTGATACTAAAGGTATGAAAAAAATCGAAAGTAGCTGGAAAGTTGAGAGAAAAAAGGCCACTGCTCTGACTGCAAACCATATGAAAAATGTTTTTTTTTTATTCTTTCCACATGAAAACATACATATTTTATAAGGCAAGGTAATTCAAAATCTAATTGCATCTACTCACTGTAAGCTACACATTACATTTTTTTTTTTTGATACAAGGCATTTTTATTCCATGAAATGCCAGAGAATTGAAGGTTTTCATTTCCAGGGCCCTGTAAAGCCTGTGTGTAACGATATACTAGTAATGATATACTATTAGCAGCTCCTTTGACAAAATAATAGCTAGGTATTTTCCCTAAGAAAATATTCAATGCAGGTGTCATATTGGGCTAAATCCAACATATATTGCATGATTAATTTGAGTGTTATAAGCAGGATTTTTCGAATTGTAAGTCTAAACAGTGCTTTCATCAAGTAGCTACCACTATCTTACTGAAGACTACTAATTTTCAAATATCTTAAAGGAAATAACTGAAGGTAAGAAAGACTTCAAAAATAAGTATTAGCATATAAAGCTCACCTTTCCAGTAAACTGAGTTTTTAAATACCCATAAAACAGGATGATCTGAAAATCTAATCACATGTAGTAATTTGTGCTATAGTACAAACATTATTAACGTTGAAGCACAAAGAAAATTCAAATGTCTCTGTAAAGTGCCTTAATATGGCATGTGTTTGGAATTGGGCCAATATAAATGAACTGTTTTACAGTATGCTCATTAAAAATTGATATTTTCTATGACTTTAGACATATACATTTAGAATTTTATTCACCAAATTAAATTTTTGCAATGCACTTGTTTGTCTTAACAATACATCGTGCAGCTGAAATCAACCAATACAATTACAATTGGCAAAAAAAAAACAAAAAAAAAAAAAAAACAGATATATCCTAAGTTGCTACTTGGCAGCACTAAATGCAATATTAGGGACACAATCTTGTTATTGATCTGCACAACATTGTGAATGACATCTGTTAAGGCCTGCCTAAAACCAACAAGGAACCTTACCAGGACCAATGTGGTCTAATCTTTCCAGTAATGAATAATCCTAGAGTAGATGGCAGGAACACTGGCTGTATACACATTTATCAATTCATAGGGCATAGGCATTCACACTTCGAGTGTCAAGAAGCAGAGCAGAATCAGATTGAGAAAGGAACAAGAATCTCACCAACTAATGAACCACAAAAACAAACATAAAAAAACACTAAACAAAACAGAATAAAAACATACTGCACCATACTCACAACACAGAACTAACTCAAGGAAAGGTAAGCCAAAAACAGGGTTGTCAGGAAATAAAACATTTTTAGAAAATCAAATAAACACGAAAATAAAAAAAATAAAAATAAAAAACAGAAGAGAGAATGCAAACAACAAACACTGGGGCCAAAGGGGTTCTGCACAGGCATGCAAGCGCAGTTACATTCTCCCATCAAGCAACAGGTCCTGTTATATTCACATGCTGGGTTTCCATGACAACACATGCAAGAAAAGCTTTTAGGTGCAGAAGCAATACCGAAGGATGCATAACGTGAAAAGGCCCCACAATGCAAACATAAAATTAAATTAACAAGACCCCAACTAGCCGGGGTTTGCTTTCATCATTTATTTGGAAATTAGAAAAACAAAAAAATTTTTTAAATTATTTTGCAGCTTGGATTAACTGTATTTATTTATTTTTTTTTTTCTTTTGGGTTTTTTCTCAGATTAGTAATTAATCGAGCTCTGCAAAAGTCAAATAACAGCTAAATATTTTCAAACATGTTGATTGCTTTTTTCAAATGTGGGTTAAAAAAAGTAAAAAAGAAAAAACACACCAACCTTCTCGAAGCTCTGAGGGATGTAAAGGGGTTGATGCAGAACACAATGACATGAGGAGAAGAGAAAAATAGGGGAAACACAGAGAGAGTAAAAAAAGCCACCTCAAGGTGTTTAGCTGCAGCTACATGACCCTTTCCTTTCTTCTTTCTTTTTTTCCCCATTACCTCTGTCCCTGTCATCAGTGACATCCGTCTTCAAGTACACTTGCCTACCCTCCCCTTTGAATAAACTTTGAACCAAAACAATCAGATTCACCCCAGTGGTTCCTCTGGTGTCTGCTAAGGAAAAAGGATTGAGACGCCACTGGAGTCAATTCAAGCGAACTATACTCATAATTTCAAATTTCACAAGTCCTTTATGGCCACAATGAGAAGCTCCTATGGTGGCCACATTTCAAATAGTTGGAGAAAGAAACCAAATAAAGAGAAAATAAAGAAAAGTAACTAATGAAAGATTGAAAAGAATAAAAGAAAAAGAAAACTCAAAAAGACACAATTCGGTAGGAAATTAGCAGCTGCAGTTCCAGACTGGTAAAAATGAAATCTTCTAAAAAGCCAATCAGTAAACACTGTCATTAAGGTTTGGGAATGAGTACTGTTCGCTTCAGCACCCGCATGCCTCATTTTTATGTTTCTCTCCCCTACTAACAATCACCCTCCACCACAGCTGCTAATCTCAAGTGCATTTTGGTTCGTGAACAAAACATAGTCAACATCAAGTATCAGAATTAATTGACAAAAGTTAACTGAAAACAAATAAAGGCCGACACCATCACAGCATAAAATATGTGTTACATAGTGTTAATGCATTGGAGTCATTTTGAAACTGGTGTGCTTTTAAAAAAGCCTGCTCATGGAGCCAGTGTTTATAGTAATATTCTGCTTAGACCAGTATTTCAACTTTTAATATTTGGGTATAAAAAAAATGCCAAGATCTGGGCTTTTTAAGTCTATGCTGATAACAGATGTTTTATAACAATTTGTCAAAAATACTCGTGGACAAAAAAAAGTGCAGAGGTTCTGTTTCGATTCAAAAGTATAATACATATCTCCTTGCATACATAACACAATCTGTTCTAGAAGGGGTGGGGTGGGCTTCCCCAAGGCGATGATCTGCATGGACCACCAATTCATACAGCCAACTGACATTTCTGCTGAATCACATTTATAAGAGCTTGAGCCTCTGGTAGGTTTATTGGCTCTCTTGAAGAACCATTTTCATTTTACCTTCAGCTCCCTATAGTAGAATCTCTCTTCTCAAAGCATCTATTTTACAGAGTCTGATGATAGCAATAATGATGAAAAAGCAGTTCCCTGACCCATTTTATAATGTAGGAGTAGTGAATTATTTATTGGGAACAAAGTTATTTGGTACACAGCAGAGGGAACAAACAGAGTAGATACCGAGGCATCTTTATTTAATATGCACAATATAAATAATACATGCAGAAAATGCATGTGCTTCAATTTATTAAAGCTCCTTCGACAGGGATTTATTGTCATTTAGCATTAGTAGTGGTGGATAGGCTTTTGTCTTTATTGTCTATTTAATATGAAACCATTCCCTCTGACTGCTTTTGAGAGAAACAAAAATTATATATATATATCTTCATTTTGCTGGAACATATCGCCAAAAATAAGTATTGTCTGTAAAATCCTTTAAAGATAATACACCAAACTAGAAACAGATTTGTGCTCCAGTGCTGTGCGTTAAATACAGAGCTATTTTACTGTATTATAAAGGCAAATACCTCTGTTTTTCTCCCCCAAAACTGGAAAAGGGAAAAAAAGGGGGGAATGATTTTGATTGCTGGGCAATATTACCTAGCCACTCAATCAAAATCAACACTTACCGTTGTGCTCCTTTACCTGTAAAACACTCATCAAAAAAACCAAAACACAACAAAAAAAAAAAAAAAAAAGATGTCCAAACTCTTATGATTTCAAATTAGATGCGGTAGGGAAACATCTGGTTGGGCAAACAGTTAACAGATCAGAGGTCTTTTACAACTGATGACGTAAAGACATACGGCTTGTTGGGCTATACATTTCCTTCCGAGTGAGTAGGGGAGGGCATTGGAAGACAAAATGGAGCATCATAACAGAGAAGAACATTAGTTGGTCAACGATAGATTTACATTTGGAAGTTTCAGTGCATGAGAACAATTATGGGAATGCGTTAAACATAAATGATAGAAGAGCTATACTCCATGGACATTACTTTTGCTAAGTATTTTGTGCATACACTGATAGATTAAAATGTTTAACTGCAGCAATTATTTTTTTAACCTCAACAATACCAATTAAAGATGAGTTGTACTGTGAAGACAATTCAGTTGGAATAGAAACTACTTAATGTTTTTGTTCTTGTTTTGCCTGGCTCTGCATTCTGGTTGCTTCCTACCTCGCACATAAAGATTAGCTGGGGAAGAGTAGCGCACGCCTTCCACATTAGACGCCACGCACTCATACTTCCCCTGGTCCAACTCCTCGCTGTTCTCGATCTGCAAGGCACCTGAGGAAAGACAACATCCAACAAAGAACAGGCAGGAAGGGGGACAGAAACGGAGAAAAGAGAGAAAGAAAGCAGAAAATAAATGATTAGTTCATCTAACTGTAAACATGCATAAAACAACTTCTCAATGCCATGTCATCAACTACAACTGTTCCCTGCAACGCTGACAGTCTGGCATGACTAACACAGCTCCACTCAGGCTTCCGTAATCCCTTGACAAAATGTTAAATACATCAAACAAACTTATTCTGTCATTGTGGCAATTTTTACATCTTAAACAAAAAAGAGCTACAGAGTAACAACATTTTGTTGAAATGATTGTTTTATATCACTCAGTCAGTCTTTGAGAAAAAAAAAAATATTTACCAGCAATAGACATTTTGATTGAGTTTTATTGGCAAACCATTGTGTGATTGCAGTGAGAGGTAGTTTCGCAAAGTATTGGCCCTGGTATGCTAACCCCCCACACTTTTCAGATTTGTATTTGCCAAAATTAAATTCCATTTAGTTTATTTCTATAGCGCCAATTCACAACACATCACTTTACAGTTCACCAGATCAATCATTTTGATCATACAGACAACTGATTCAAAGTTTTCTATCCAAGGAAAACCAGTTGATTGCATCAAATCATTGACTAAAATGCAATCACCTACACTAAGCATGCTTGTAGCGACAGTGGAGAGGAAAAACTCCCTTTTAACAAGAAGCAACCTCCAGCAGAACCAGGCTGAGATTAAGAGTTTAGGGTATCAGCTTCACACACTTAGAGACTGAAAATTGCCCCACGTTAATGCTTAAAAAAGATCACTGGCTTAGATTGTGTTTTTATTGTCAAACATTTCGAACTGGGTTTAGTTCTCGACTTAACTGGGTTAAAAAATGAATATTGAATTATTATCTCAACAGCTTCCGCATAGCTCAGGCTTTAGGTTTAGGTTCATCTTGTAAGAAAATGAATGTCAGCCCAGATCTAAAGTGTTTTGCGGTCTTTCAGATCTCTTCCAGGATTGACCTGGTTTAAGCTCTATACATCTTCCAGTCATCACATTTTATCCAAAGAAAATCATCCAAACACCCTGGTTAACATTGAACTGAAGGATTAATAAAGGACTTTTGAAGGTCAATTCTCTCAAATTTAATCACCATGCACAGCGGCATTCACGGACTGCTACCGTTAAATATGTTACTAATAAATACAATGCAAATTCTCCCCATAAAATAGGGGGTTTCACCTGGAAGGATGTGAAATACCAGACACACAAGTCTCAACAGAATTTTAACATCGTTAGATACGTTCATATCACATACTGTATATTATAAATATATTGTACATTACCATTTTATGTCCTTTAGGTAAGATAGTGAAGGTATATAATGATATCAGTTTTTTCAATTAGGTCAGTTTAAATTTCAAACTGTTCAGTTTACATGAACAAATTCTCCAATTGGCTAAATGTTTAGGATGTAGATATTAGTGCTAATTAAGCTAGATCTCATTTAATTTCTGAACCAAGCCTAGTACTGGTACACTGATGGTGGGACACTGTCAATGTTCAGAATTTTAAATGTAGGCATGGGATATAAACTATAATTAATAGCAGACTAAACCTCTGCTAAAGCACCATTTCATCCTAAGCCAAACACTGCAGTAAGCCAAGGTAGATGCGTCAAAATCATCTATTATTATGAGAAATGAAACTCCAAGGCAGATTTAAAATAGAATTTGGCATCCTGCAGTAAGCAAACAACAGAAAACGGACTCTTTTCTTTGCATATTGCAATGCCCTTTTGTCCAAAACATTGCATTGTAAAGTATAATACAGTGATGTATTTCTTTATTTTTCCTGGGGGGGGATGGGTGCATGCATTATGCACACGCCAACTATGCTAACTACATAGAGAAAAAAAACAATGCATCAGAAAACAAATGAAATACGGGGTAAATGTGGTCGCCATAGATGTGAGATTTCAATTCCAAGGACTTTCGAAGGTCTCCCATGGATTTTTTTTTCAACTCATCTCCCTTCTCTTAACCAGTTTGGGCATCCTTTACTTTCTAAAAAAAGATAACCACTTAATACAATCTAACTTCTTATCTTTTTGTTATTGATGTCTTGTATGTGAATCACTAACAGCTGGAACTTGCGGACAGGTTGCAGAGAATAAAATAGAGAGGTGAAACACCAGGATCATTCCTCGTTAGAGTGCTGTTGACGGCACTTCCTGATGATATCATTAGGGCCTCTGGCTGGCTCACTAGACAGATTGTAGCCTGGGACTCTCTGACAAACACAACAGTAGCATCGCTTGTTAACGTTTATCCAGGAAGCATCAATATGCCAGCAGCTGCCCCGAAAGCTTTGTAATATACTATAACCCTTCTGAATCACATCTGCAAGTGAACACAATGTTGTACAAGGCCACCACTCTGGAACAGTGTTCAAATAACACGTTTCAGCTCATCCACAAATTAGACAATCGATCCTGGTTAATTATAAAGATTAGTCACGCTTTCAGTCTGTTCCCTGCCTAATAGAGAAAAGAGTATTTTAGACCTTGGGATGTGAGCAAATATATTTACCAATTTAAAGGGGTTAGGGTTATTTAATAGACCTGAAGGAAGAACAATCAATGGGGTATATAATTTTTTTTGTTCCCTTTTTCTTTCTCTTCCCTGCTAAGATCACCTTCTTCACTCAGAGGCCTCTGTTGCTAGAATGTGGCTGAAGAACCAAAAGAGAAGGAAAAAACTGCCTGCAGTGTGCAGGTGGTACAGTTTTTGGCTGTCGATTTATGCTAGCATTTGATTTGGATCTGTTTGATGTGCGCTTGGAACAGCAAACGCCACGGCGGTGGCAGGTGGGTTGGAATGTGCTCAGAAGCTGAGACCACAAAATAAGAAACGTATGAAGTTCAACTCCAGGTGGACAGATCCAGAAACCTCAGCCAGCAGCTTGTCAGACAGGTTTCCTTCCACTGAATTCTAAACATTTTTCTCAACTCAGTTTTGTTAAATCCATAAAGAAAGCTCTGTATTTTGAATTTTTATTCATCTTTAACCTACTGGTAGTGGTGTCACTTTCTAAATAAAATAAAAATTATAAATTTTTTAGTCAAATAGGAAAAAAAGGACAAAAAAACAGCCAATATGCTAAAATACTGGCTCCCTTCATCTCTTCAAATAAAACAGAGGAGAAAAATACAAAAACAATTTTTTTTTAAAGACAGGGTTGTTTCATTTGCTCCCCAACTTCTTTGATCCAAGGCCTTTCAGAGGGTGGTACTATCTATTTTCCCCTATCCCCTACCAGTTTTGCTATAGTTTCTAAGAATTTTTTTAAGTAGAGAGGTGAAGAAAACACTGAGAGTTATTTCACTTTAAGAGCAAATGGAGAAAAATGAGAGCATGGAGGAATATAGATTATTCTTAATATAGTAATTTACCATCTTTACATTCACTGTCCACTTTATATGGAACAATTTTCTTCCACCAGGTTGGACACTTTTTTGCCTTCAGAATCATCTTTAAATGGTTACAGTGGTCATAGGAGGTGGGACAGCGTCGGCAACAATACTTTGGTAGACTGCTGCCTTTCAATTATGTGTAGCTGTTACTATTGGATGCCGACAGTGCTACGAAATGATCCCTGTTCTATTACACCACCAGCAGCCTGAACTGTTGATAGAAAACAGGATGGCTTCATGGTTGTATGTTGTTTACATAAAAATTATGATCAAAACATGTGAATGTTGAAGCTAAAATCCAAGCTTGTATGAGCAGGAAACATTCTCCCTCACTTGACTTTTGTTTTAGCCTGGGTCTCCTTTTTTCCTTTTGTTAACTGACAGTAACAGCAGTTGATGTAAATTCCTTTTTTGTCTCACAATGGGGAAATTGACTCTCTGCATTTTTACCCATCCCCTTGGGGAGCAGTGGGCTGCCATTGTGCGGTGCTGGGGAGCAGTGTGGGGTTAAAGGTTTTGTGTAGGAACCCAGAGTGCAGACAATGGGGATCGAACCGGGTACTTGCAACCTCCTCAAAGCACAAGCGCACTGCTCTAACCACTAGGTCAACACTCCCAGATCTGGTCTTCTTGAGAAAAATCTGCCAAAACCTTAGATGTGTTAAGTTATTTTAGTAGAAATTAGTGATTAACTAAGCTTTTCTATTCCTACTCTTCGAAATTAAAGTGTCCACCTATTCTTTTCTAACAGTAGATCAGTTCTTTTTGAAATACTCATATCAACCAGTCTGTTACCAACAGCCACACAACTTTAAAATCACCTATGGCCACTTTTTTTCTTATCAGACTGTGCCATATCTAGTTCCGTAAATGCATCAAGTCACTGCCATGTGCTCCACAAAATACTCCAACAACCAGTTGTAAGGGTGTAAGTATAAAACAGTGTATATCTCCATCACATCATGTTGGTGGAACTTATTTGCTTCTGAGAAGTAAGTTTAAGGGATCGTAATTAATTAAATTTGAAAACTATATTTTGCAATTAAAAAGAATACACAGATAAAATGTATCCAATAGCTTACATCTAAGAAGGAGAATAAAACAGATCCTCCTTCATATCCAAAAGCTCCAGGAACGCCATGGGGTTTTCACTATCATTTCCTTTTGTCTGTCTCTTTCTTTAAGTGACTGCACTCTGTGTGTGTTTTGCATAATTGCACTCTGCATCCTCTGCCAGCCCGTGGCTCACCAGAGTGCATGTGACCAATGACAGTTTTCCATTTTTCCGCCTTTATCAATAAAAGGAGAAATGTTAGGAAATAACTAAATAGCAAAAATGATCTTCCATGAAAGCAAAAAGAAAGCCACGCATCAAATCTGCTCGCACCATGAGTGTTTAGAGATAAAGACATGCTTGGTGGCAAACAGCAGTTTTTTTATGCCGCTTCTGAAATGGCTTTTACTGTGATTGTAAAGGAAGTCCACCAAAGAGCCTGCTGGGATGCTGCCTCCCTTTCTTCCTCAGCTTTTAA